TCTGCTTGCACCAGACAGGCTGCAAGGGGCTTTTCCCACCTGATCTCCCTCCTGCGCGCCCCGTGGGGTCCTCTGGGGCAGAGGTGCATGATGCCTAGGCTCAGCATCCACTCCCCAGGCTGCCCCCGTGACAGGTGCTCTGCTCTTTCCTTCCGGTGTATTTTCCAAACAATTTGCTTAACGCGATTCCGGAAGAGGCAAGCCTGACTAATAGTGTTTGCTCTCTCCGGCGACCCATCACCGGCTCACCCTCCTACTCTCCCCCCAGACGCCAGACCAGTGGCGGTGGCAGCGATGGAGCCCCTGTTTCCTGTCGCCTCCACCCTCGGCTGGAACGCCTCCCTGGCGGCCCCCGGAGACCTGAGCGAGGAGAACGAGACGGTGGCCAGGCCTGCGGGCTCGCCAGGCGCCCGGGCGGTGCTGGTCCCTGTGCTCTACCTGCTGGTGTGCGCCGTGGGGCTGGGCGGCAACGCGCTGGTCATCTACGTGGTGCTGCGCTACGCCAACATGAAGACGGTCACCAACATCTACATCCTCAACCTGGCCGTGGCCGACGTGCTCTTCATGCTGGGCCTGCCCTTCCTGGCCACGCAGAACGCCGTCTCCTACTGGCCCTTCGGCTCGCCGCTCTGTCGCCTGGTCATGACGCTGGACGGCATCAACCAGTTCACCAGCATCTTCTGCCTGACCGTCATGAGCGTGGACCGCTACCTGGCCGTGGTGCACCCCATCCGCTCCGCCAAGTGGCGCCGGCCGCGCGTGGCCAAGCTGACCAGCGCAGCCGTCTGGACCTTTTCGCTGCTCATGTCCCTGCCCCTGGTGGCCTTCGCTGACATCCAGGAGGGCTGGGACACCTGCAACCTCAGCTGGCCCGAACCCGTGGCGCTCTGGGCCGCCGCCTTCATCATCTACACGTCGGTGCTGGGCTTCTTCGGGCCCCTGCTGGTCATCTGCCTGTGCTACCTGCTCATCGTAGTCGAGGTGAAGGCCGCGGGCGCGCGGGCGGGCTGCCGGCGGCGGCGGCGCTCGGAGCGCAAGGTGACGCGGATGGTGGTGGTGGTGGTGGTGGTCTTCGTGGGCTGCTGGCTGCCCTTCTTCATCGTCAACATCGTCAACCTGGCCTTCATCCTGCCCGAGGAACCCGCCTCGGCCGGGGTCTACTTCTTCGTCGTCATCCTCTCCTACGCGAACAGCTGCGCCAACCCCGTCCTCTACGGCTTCCTCTCCGACAACTTCCGCCAGAGCTTCCGGAAGGTCTTGTGTCTCCGGAGGGCAGGGGAGGACGCGGACCCCACGGAGCCGAGGCCCGACAAGAGCAGCCGGCTGCAGGAGCCCTCGCTGCCCGGGCGCGGCCCTCAGGCCAATGGGCACATGCAGACCAGCAGGCTGTGAGCGCCGAGGGGGCAGGCGGGGACCCCTGGGCACCCTGGGACTCAGGCGTGTTGAGGTTCCTGTCCCCACCTCATGGTGGCCTGTGGGTGTGGACTCCCTAGTGGTATTGGGATGAAGAGGCTGCCCTGCATGGCCTCAAGGGGCCAGGGGGTGGGGGTGGGGGGTGTTGCCTTATGGGCCAGGCAGGGCCTGGAAATGCTGTTGACAGTGAGGCGTCCCTGCCCTGCAGCCCTACCTTGGACAGCCCCCTGCCCAGTGGTGTGACCACTGGTGGGCGTGAGGGAGCGGGCCCTGTCCAGTCTGCAGTGCCCGTGGCCAGAGCACTGCGCTTGCTGTCTGCCCTGCCTCAAGCCACCCCTTGATACTGCTCAAAGCTCACAGCCTCTAAGTGCCCTGGCAGGTCAGGGGAAAGCTGCCCCTGTGGGTCTCCGAGGGGAGCAGACAGCCTCGTTTTTCTCCTGCAGACTGGCGGGTGGTTTTAAACTTCTGACTCTGCGATTAGCAGCCCAACATGTGACCATGATGCCACCAGGGCTCCCTGGCTCAGAGACATTAAGATGCCCCAAATCCACCCGGGCCCACAGGGCGCCTTCCTTGCCTTGCCCCTGGGTGCCCCCAGACCTGGGTGGCTAGCCTACCTCCCCTCCAGGTCCTGTAATAGTGCTGAAGCCCAGAGGGGACAGGTGTGAGGGAGTGTGCTGCACACAGCCCCTGGGACAGTGGGGGTGGGGGAAGGGGCAGGATTCTAGAACATTCTACCCCTTCACTCCAGGCTCTCCCACTCCTCCACACATGCACCTGTCCCAGAAGTGAGGGGAGGGGACAGGTGGGGTGGTGGTGCATGCGGGGTGCCGATGTCTTAGAGGGCCCATGGCAGGGGCTCTGCAGGCTGTGGGGGCTCAGGGAGGCCAGGGTGGGGGCAGAAAGGAAAGTGAGACACAGTTCTGTCTCCCCTCCCCCCCCAGCCCCTCCTACCCCTCAGGCCCTCCTGCCTCCCGGCCCCTACTGCCTCCCGGCCCCTCCTGCCCCCACTCAGCCCCTCCTGTCTCTCAACCCCTCCTGTCCCCTGGCCCCTCCTGTTTCCCAGCCCCTCCTGCATTCTAGCTACCTAGCCCTTTTAGCACCACCATCCCAGCTCATTCCCCCAGTCCCCCTTGGACAGGAACACTCAACTTTTTCTGGATTGCCCAGCCCCCCGTCTGCCCAGCAGGCCTAAGCCCCTCCAGGAGGGCATGAGGGGTGGGCAGGAGGGCATGGGGTGAGCCGGCTGGGCCCCTGGGAAGCTGTGTGAGCAGAGTGACCCTGGGCGGCCCTGCGCCTGAATAAACCAGAGGAGCCTGGCTTTTCCCCAGAACAAATAGCACCTAGGCTTGAGCTGCCCGTGCTCAGGCGAGCGGCTCCGGGCCTCCCAGGGGCCACTGTCCAGGCCAGCAGCCTGAGCTGAGCAAGATCGGGCTGGGGTAACGGGGCTCCGGGTGCAGAAGGAACTCGGGTGGGGCTGAAACTGCCCATGTGACCTTGCTTCCTGGTTGGGAGGGATGTCTGTGCCCCGGGCCTGGATGGGCCTTGGAAAGGTGCAGGTGGGGTGTGGGGAGGGGGAAACGCATTTATTCTGGTCATTGCATGTGACCACCTTGTGCCCCAGGGAGGCTCTGCACTTCTGGTTTGGCCGACACCCAGAAGCTGGGTGCCCACCCACTCATATTGTCAGCACCACAGGAGGGTACCTGATGGCCAACACCATATGCCAGCCTCTCCCCTGACCCCCCCCTCCCTCCGCCCAGACTTGGACTCAATGTGCAGGGGCGTGGAAGGACAGAGAGCAGGCAGATGGCTCGGAAATCTCTCCTGATCAATTCCTCCCAATTGATTCCATGTCGCCAGCTTCCTCCCAGGGCAGTGCCAGCCGGGGTCCCTGAGCAGAGTGGGGGTGGAGGGGTGGGGCATGGGCGGGGCCTTGCCAGCAGCAGGGCCGGCTGGGTCCCATGTCTACCTGCACAAGAGTGAGTTTCCAGATGTGTGTGTGTGTGTGTGTGTGTGTGTGAGTGTGGCTGTGTGGGGAGCATTTT